AAAATATAACAAGCCAATCATTTAACAAAAAAGGGAAAAGACAATCTCAGGACTAAGCCTTTCTTGGGGACTATCTACCATGCTTTCTTGTGCTGGGAATGAGTCAAATTTCATGATCCTTTCAGAACTGTGCCTACTACACAATATTTTAATTTCTTTGAACATCATATTTATAGCTGTGATACTGCTGTGTGACTTTTATATTTTTAAGACAGTAGAAATTCCTCTCCCAAAATATCCTGTAATCTTACTGTTCCTTATTCCTTTAACTGGAGCTAGCTGGTATGCCTGAAACATGTTTTGTGATACATTTTCCACATCTATATAGCAGGGATAAAATTCTAGTAAGTGAATGATACTATTAAATCTAATTCCATGTGCTTCTATTTTCAACATATGGATTATTAGATATTAACATTTCAATTATTTATAAGTTTACAATAAGAATAACGTACTGTTCTTATGGACAAAAGTGTCTAGGGATAAAATGTTTGTAATGACAGAGAAATAAGTTAGCTAGACTTATGCAACTGGAAGACAAACTTCTGGGGATGAAATCACTTTTTCAAGGACACGGTTTGTGTATCCAAATTTTTCCAATTACATTGGTTATTCTAAGACAAAAGCTTTTACTTCTACCTACAAACCCTAATTTTATAATTAAGTTTCTAAAACCTGCATACACCTTTCCCTAGCTCTTTCACAGAGATTTTGTTTTGCAATCTAGTAATAATGTGTTTTAATTTGACAATTTAGAAGCATTACAGTTCTATATCCTACAAGTCCCAAAACTTAGTGAGATTCTTCTAGAGCACTGTAAATACAGTGTGTGTCAAAGACCGGAAGAACAAAAACTATTTTTATTTAGATAAATGCACAGCACTACAAATGAACAATGCAACTTCTTTTGGAACCTGTCAGGCAAGATCCTAAGTCTGAGGATATGCTTTGTGATGACTTTTCATATGAAAAATATTCACTAACTGCAATGAATATGGAAAGATTTTTATTCCCAATACGGCAATGTGAAAGAAGCCAAATCGTCTGTCATTCATGTTAATTTAATTACAGGACCACATTCAATTATCCAATATAATATGCAAATGAAGTGAGTTGACAGCACATGCTAATTATATTCATTATAATAATTAAATCAAACAATGAAAGGGAATAAAAATGTAATGAAATAGAAGGATATTTTTAATTAACAAGAACATTTTAATTAGAAACTGTAATTCTATAGTCTGATATAGTATGGTTGGCTTATTGAAAGATTGGACATTACTTTTATTACGCAGTTTAGTTTTACATGTCTATCCTTAGTATCACGGGACCTGTTTTCGTATGTTAGTAGATTAAATGGTGGCCAAAAAAAGAGAATCCGTTTCCTTGATCGTACTTCATGCAAAGCAGATGCCTAATAAAGCCGAGCTCCGCTGCGGCATGATTACAGCATCCCGTCTCGTGAAATGCAGGCTGTCCAACTCTGCAGTAAACAAAAGTTCACGTGCCGATACAAAACAGACAGCGCAGTTTAGGCTTGACTAGTGATGTTTAAGCATTTAAAATATTAAAGAAACACTTTGCTTTTTGAAATTTTCAGTTTCATAACTGATTTATTTCTTCAGTGACGGCAGCTGCCCTGAAAAATCAAAAATGCCCTTTATGAATGTTAAAACAAAATATGAAAAAAGGAAAGGAATATTACTCATGTATTATATGTGGCCAAAGTCAGCAAAATCATAGTCTTTTTAAAATAAACAGAGCAAGCACTATCAAAACACTTCGGAATGCATTCCTTTGAAATCCATTGTCCTCATCGCTCCTTGACAGAATCACTTGGACATGGACCAAAAGCCAACCATGGTGAAAACGCTAACTGGGACCACAGCCACTGTCTCTGCGTGTGTGTAGGACCCACCGTGAGGCCCCCCTCTTATTTGGGGCTCCTGGAAACTGCAGTGAAATATGAATCTCGAAGCTATATGAGAGAAAAGAACTTTCCTTTTTAATTTGCCACTCAACTAAATATAAAGACTTTTACAGATAGTGTAATAAAACCAGGCAAACCTATATTACATTAAATGATTGGCATATGATGCTCTTGGAAGATTTTCTTCTGTGAATGTGAAATATTTAGGAAATTGCCCTTTTATTATTTTGACTGCATAGTGGTAATAATTCACTTACTTAAATCACAGTACTACTACAGAAGGTCAATGTTGAGGCTGACAGGCTGTAAAATTTCCTTTTTAGAAATTTATTCTCCAAACTGGGAAACCACAGGGGTTTTTTAATAATTAATACCTTTTTTTCTTTATTCTAGTACGTAGTTTTGGATATTTATCTGTTGTCCTTAGACAAAGGAATCGCAAAAGGCACACCAAAAACTCCACACAACTATTTGTTCTTTTTTTGAGAGTTGAAAGGAATGAAAACATACAAAGGTTGGTAATAAGGAATACAAATTTAGAGAGGAAAAGACTTATTTAAACTACAAACATTTCAAAACAAATGTACATTTGACTGCAAGAATAATGTAAATCTGCTTTGAAATATGTCAGTTGTTGACTTCTTTAAAGTTTGTTCAAATGCTAAATAAAAAAAAAAGCTATCAGGCTCTATGGAAATTTGTTTTCATAGCTCAAGTTTGGTGTATCTATTTTTATTATGCTGTTCTTTGCAGGAGTTCAAGCCTACTATTTGAAAGCTTTCACTGTGAGAGCAATTTTTTATTTTTAGTAGGACTCTGCAGATAATCAACAATGAAAGAAAAAATTGAAAGCTCATAACAGAATACAAAATTAAACCATAACTGAATGAAGAGAAAGCACTTCTCTCTTCATGAAAGGCATCGTATCTTTATTGGAAGTCACAGCATTAACAGTACCTGAAAATAATGACCATAAGCAAGTCGTACTGCTTTGCCTAGAAGGAAAAATACTTCCTTTTACTAAAAAAACCCAAACCTTCCCCACATTTTTCAAGTACTCAAGTGAGGAATGCTTCAGTTTTTCAAAACGTTTTTTTAAACAAAAAAAATTAAACCAAAATGCCACTTCCTCAGTTTAAAAGTTATTAATTAGGAATATTAGAAATTACATAAAAAGTTAAGCACGTCATGACGCCTCTTGAGATAGCACCACCAAAGCAAACCACCATAAAAGACTGCTTTTAGTGTATGAAAAGTACTAACATACCGCGCTTGTTTAACTAAAGACCTAAACTTGACTCTCAGAGCTGCAGAAGCTACCTCCTAATCTTGAAAATTAACTCAGTCTGGGGACAGATTAGTGATGGCACATGACCTCTACCCCAAGCACACATGCTGAAGACTCCAAGACACTGCAAAATCACCAGCCAGGAAGCATGCTCACAGACAAACGCATTTCGCAGATACTTAGTCTCTTGACTGCCTGCCGGCAGGCACCCTAACCAGCGGCTTGC